CCCCAAAACCCCAAAACCCCAAAACCCCAAAACCCCAAAACCCCAAAACCCCATATTTTGGCCAAATTATTGAATTTATATTTACCACGATGCAGTCTAAGACATACGACAAGTCATATGACTACGAAGAAGATAAAGTTGATGGTATTGATTACGATATCGTCAATATTTTTGAACTCGAAACCTTACAAGAACTTAGAATTGAGTAGGTGTTCTCATCTAGACTTAATTGCTAACATTTATTTAGTACTGATTTCAGGAATGCAGTCACAGTAACGCTCCTTGATGGATTTGCAGAGGTATTTGGAGCTGAGCTCCCGCCCAATACACCTATTTACTATGCCAAAGGTAGCAAATTTGCAATTTTCACTTGGCATCATGCAAAAATCCAAGTCATAGGAAAGACAGAAGATAGCTATCTTAGTAAAGAAACAAGAATGAAGGAATACATTGAGTTGCACTCCCATATCCAGGAAGAAAGAGATAACAACATGAGAGAAAGGAAGCCTGGCCCTAATGTGCTGATCTGTGGGGAGTCCAACTCTGGTAAGAGCACTCTTTGCAAGATCTTGACTAACTATGGTCTCAAAATGGGCTTCAGACCAATCTTGATTGATCTGGATATCGAAAATAATATGATTGTACCTCCTGGATGCATCGGAGCCTCAAGACCAAAGGTGAATGTACCCTCTGATGACTTAACAGAGGACACCATATGCTATTTCTATGGTTTGAGAGCATCCAAGATGGATGGAAAACTCTACAAAAGACAGGTCTCTGAACTTGCTGGCTGTGTCAACAAGAAGATACTCAACAAAGAAGAAGAAATGAAGAAAGAACTCTTTGATATGGTTCATACTAAAGAAGATCCTTCAAAAATGGCTCACATGAAGTCAATCTTTACTGATTTTTCCACTAGTAAACTCCCTGTGGAGCTTGCTAGTGGATGAATCATTAACTCAATGGTTGTTGGAAGTGAACCTTCTGAAAGAACAGTCAGATTCCTCGCTGATGCTTTCAAGATTTCTTACATCATTGTAATGGAATCCGAGAGAACATACATCAAACTTCGTGAGTGCTTCCAAGAATCAAGCTCTATAAAAATCGTGAAACTTCCTAAATCTCCAGGTGTGGCAATCCTAGATGAAGCGAACCGAAGGAAGGCTACTAATTACTTCTTTAAAAACTATTTTTATGGTGAACTAAACTCTGCTAAAGCTTTGTCGCCGTCTTTTCTGAATAACTTGGACACGTTCGAAGTGGGGCTTAAGTTGGATGAGTATAAGCTGTACACATATGAGTTGGTCAAGATCCCTCTCTCCGCCCTTCCCCACGGATCGAAGGAAGAGGTTAATAAAATTTTTGTGAAGAAGGTCGACCCAGAACAGATGGAACTTCAGGACAGAGTCGTAGGAGTTTTAGATCCAGTCAATGTGGAGCTGTTAGAGAAATATGAAGAAGAAATTGAGGAAGGAGAGAATAGCAATAAGGAAGAGTTCTATGATATTTTGATCTCAAGTGTTTGTCGATCCTTGATCCATATATCCTACTATGATCCAGCCAACAATCAGCTGATAGCCAATGCGACGTCTCCAGAAGGACCAAAGAGCAAGTACCTGATAGTCAAAGATCTAGTCTATGAGAAGAAGCTTTAAGCAAGGTATTAATTTTAATCAAATTTCATAACTCAAATATGTGTTTTCTCTTCGGGGTTTTGGGGTTTTGGGGTTTTGGGGTTTTGGGG